GTAAAATTATCAGACACTTTTCAAAAGAATAAACATATATGCCAGTGAGGGGAAAAATACTTAATATTATTAGCTATCATTTCACTGCCAAGCATAGCTCCAATGAAATACCTTATCACCCAGTTAGAATGGCATTACAAAAAGGAACCCTTAAAAGTTACAAATGCTCCTGAGTGTGTAGTGGAAAAGAAAACTGAAAGCTGTTGATGGGAACATGAGTTTGTGCAGTTACTATGGAGAACAATATGGAGATTTCATAAAAATTTAAAAATAGATTTTCCATATACAATCTCTATATCCCTTTTTTGGTATGTACACAGAGGAAATGAAATCAACCTACTCAATCTGGATGTATACTTTTATTGCACATTGATATGTCACAGAAAGCAAGATGAAAAAACTGTCTAGATGCCCACCAATAGATGAATGTATAAAAACAATGTGATATATTTTATGTCAAATATTTTTCAGACATTATAGGTGATTTTTATAATTTTAGTTAGAAAAAGTCATTCAAGAACATTAAGTGAAATGAGCCAAACACAGGAAAGAACACTGTGTTCTTATCACACAGTGGTAAGAAAAACTAAAATTCCTCTTGAAGGCCTGATGGTGATGGATACAAGCTAGATGATTTAATGTAAGTTAAGGGAAGCTTATATGAGGGACACTGGATTTAAAAACTGCAAGGTGTGTACACAGGTGTGGTGATTTGAATTTGGATGGCCTCTGTACTGGCTGATTTTTATGTCAGCTTGATACTTGACACAAGCTGGAGTCATCAGAGAGAGAGAGAGAGGACCCTCAGTTGAGGAAATACTTCCATGACATCCAACTGTAAGGTATTTTCTCAACTAGTGATCAATGGGAGAGGGACCATGGTGGGTGGTGCCATCCTGGGCTGAAAGTCCTGAGTTCTATAAGAAAGCAGGCTTAGCAAACCCTGAAAAACAAGCCAGTAAACAGCACCCCTTCATAGCCTTTGCATCAGCTCCTACCTCCAGGATCCTGTTCTGTTTGAGTTCCTGTGCTGACTTCCTTTAACAATGAGCAGCAATATTGAAGTATAAGCCAAATAAACCCTTTTCTCCCCAATTTATTTTTAGTCAAGGTGTTTAGTTGAAGCAATAGAAACCCTAACTAGGACAGCCTCCATAGGCTCATATATTGCTTATTTATCAGGGAGTAGTTCTGCTTAAAAAGGATTGGGGCTGTGGCCTTGTTGGAGTAGGTGTAGCCTTGTTAGAAGTGTGTCTCTGGGGACAGGCTTTAAGGTTTCAAAAGCCCAAGACAGTCCCAGTGTCTATAGCTTCCTACTGCCTTCGGGGCCAAATATAGACCTCTAGGTTATTTGCCCACCACCATGTCTGCTGTGTCCCACCATGCTCCCTGTCTCCCCTGCTGATAATGGACTATACCTCTGGAACTGTAAGCAATCCCCAATTAAGTACTTCCTTTTATAAGAGTTGTCAGGGTCATAGTGTCTTTTCAAAGCAACAAAGCACTGACTAAGACAAGGGGTATGGAAATAACATGTTCACATCAAGGTTTATGGACATCTATACATGTTAGTAAAAATTCAATAATAAAGAGTAACATGCATAATTATACTTGTCAACTATTTTCATATAAAAAGAAAGTAAAAATCTTGCTTTACTCACATTCTAATATTTGGCAGTGAAGCAGTAAACAAAATAGCCCTTTAGTCTGTGAATGTCATTTTTTAATAGAAAAATATCCATAACATGAAACTGAATTTCCTGTAATCTATCAGAATGAGGTACTTACGTAAACATTTTGGTGGCTCTGACCACTCTCCATTTCTACATGTTATTTTCTTGTTGCCCTGCAGTTGGTACAAGTACTTGCACTGATATTCAACTGATGATGATGGTGCATATATTGGCAATGGGAAGGAGGTGATGTCTCCATTGTCAATAGGTGGAGGAGGCCCACATTTCCCTGTTGAACCTAAGAACACAACATTTGAATGTTTGAGAGATTAAATCAAAGTGCATGCTTAAAGAGAACCAATGAAAGTACAGTGCTAATCAAGACTTTATTGATTTCTGGCTACAGAAATGATTAGTAGAAGAAATTCCAATCATGTAAACTGAGAGTTACAAGTTCTTCCTTCCTTTTCACCTAAAGCACTTACTTAACTGGAATAAGCATGTCTGCTCTGAAGCCTCCCAGTGCTAGTAAATGACTTAACAGCTAAGCACACAGACTCCAGTGTAGACAGGCAAAGTTTCTTTGTTTTCTAGACACTGGAGTATTTATTGCTTTACATATTCCTGATCTTCAATATCATGTTTTAGATGTACATATTCATTGACAATAAACTAAAGCTTATAAAGTCACAGAAGGCAAATTAGGCTTTCTGTATTCCTGACAGGGGCAAAGTAAGTATAGATATCTATAGGTTGTACTTTTCCTAAGAACAACTGGAATTCTTGGACATAATATGTTGAGTAACCAATAGAGGAAGAAGGAAGACACTGAGAATTCTAGTTAAGAAATTCAGGAGTCAACAACTGCACAAGGCTGTGTGCCATTGTTTCTCTTTTGGACTGCTGATTGTCCTGCTGAGGCCACAGGAAAAGATGGAAATCAAACACTGATGGAATGCTCTGTTGAGTAAGATTTCAACAGGAACATCGTGAAACTGAACTGAACTCCAACACTGTTGAGAGGAAAAATGAAATGGTCAATATCCAAAGAAAATGTTTTAGCATGAAGGAAAATGAAAAAAGTTGGGCATAAGGCATAGATGTGCATCCTTAAAAGCTGAGTAAACTCAAACAGGGCAAGTCCCAGGAAGTTTATTCAGATACATGTATTGAAACTGCTTAAAGAAAACATCTTGAAAAAAATCAGTATAAAATCATTACTAGTCACACTGATCAAGATCCAAAGGAAAGTGACTTCCCATCTACAACCATGGAGGCCATAAGCAGTGAAAGGAATGGATGTCAGCCTTAAAGTTTAGGTCCTTTCCAGGAAAGACAGTAATGAAGACATCATCAGATAAAAGAAGATAAAGAGGATTTTCACTAATAGAGAGTCCATCTGGAAGAATAACTGCCTGTATTCATTACAGAAATAAAAAGAGAAATTAAGACTTTAGGAGAAAAATAACTAGTAAAGTGAAGGGTATGTATAGATAATCTTTCTGCTCATAAAATTATATTTATGCTTGAGGTGAAACCTAACATTTGAGAATGGTGCTCAATATATGTAACAGGGATTGCTAAAAGAATCTTCAATAAAACATGGGAACTGGGAGCTATAAATTGACTTTAAAGTTAAGAACAGTCTCCAGATTCAATTGAAGTATAAAATGTCAGCATCAGTAGAGGATGACACACATGTACAAATACCTAAAGTGACTTCAGTAACAGGTGGTTAGGAAGCTATTGGAGATAGCATACTCAAATTGTATACTCAGAACCAATAATAGATACATACCAAAATAAGAGTACTGAGAACTATTTCCCCAAAGCAAAAGGATAAAAAATAAGATCGATAAACAAAGAACACAAACACAAATTAAAAAAAAAACAGATACATGGAACATACTAGTAATTGTTTCACTTGCAAATGATCTGTATACAGAGATTTGAGCAGTTTGATGTTTCATTATAGATATAATGTAAATATTTCATACATCAAAAATATATAGTTCACATTTAATAGTAAATGACCAATGGAAGTAGTTCGGGAAATTTCTGTGCTTATAACCTAAGTCTCAGCAATGTACTCCTGAAAGTCCCATATATTTAATTCAACATATACGAAATAAGGATATGCCATAGCTACTCTCCCCTTGCTACCTGTGACAGGCAGGAGAGCTGGTCCTTGGGTCTTGAGAGTGGAAGATCTGTTCCTGCCCCTCATAGGCTGCTGCTCTTGGGAGAGTGGACCCTGCACCTTGCCTGGGCAACAAAGTAGACCTGGCCACGATGTGAGGAGTACAAGGCTTGCTCCAAGGGAGTGAGGGGAGAACTGGCCCCATCTTTTGCTGCCTGCTGACTAGGGTGAGCGAGCTGAGGCAGTGCTGGAGAGCTCTCTGTGGTGGTGAGGATGAAGAGCAGGCTGTTTGACCAACCCAGCTACCACTCAGGCCCAGAACAAGGGCTTTGGGTTGGCCCACCAAAGCCTCTACCCCATCTATGAATTGCTGGAGCACATGAAAGGACTGGTCCTGCATATCCAAAGCTGCAGTACCTCCATAACACAGGGCAATGACAGAATATCTAAGAGGAGTCCCAGTGAGGGCCCAGGATCAATAATGTAGCAGAAGCCGGAGGCCTCAAACCAGACCAATGGCTCATTGCAATGAGCACTTGCAAGTGGAGATATACAGACTACAGACTAAAGAGTATACTATATGACTCACTGGGTCATTCTACAGCTTCCATAGTGAGGTTTTTTTTTCTTTATGGCTAAGTTCTTGTTGCAGCCTCTCTGCAGCAAACTTCATAGTTTTTTGGGCTCCAAAAAGCCAAAGGAGTTAGCTACTTTCTCTGGTTTCCACTTGCAGATAGCTGGCTCTTTGGCTTCTCTCCTGGTGGGTTATGGGCTCTCCATGGATCCCCATCTTGGGTGCTACCATACTATGTAGCTGCCTTGAAACATGCTCAGGTTTCTACTGTTCTATGAAGAAGCAGTCAGCCTCAAATCTGAATCATCATTGTCTGCAGATTTGGTGAGACAATTGGGATTTCTTAGGAAGAAATTAGTTAAAAGAGAATTTTTTCCCACATTAAAAAAAATGGGAAACAATTTTATAATAGAGGGAATTTTGTCTTTGTTTGATAATACAGTTGATGGTCTGAAAATTGAACAATTAAATGAGAGGATAATTAATGTAGATGTGATTTATATGTCAATTATAAATATTATTTATTTGACCATTTCTGTTTTATCATTAAAAAGATTGTTTAATGTGAGTGCCAAGATAAAAAATTTTGGAAAAACTTGTTAAAACAGATGGTAGAGAAATTCAGACCCAGAGAGAGGGATTTAAAGGTGGACCAATGTTACCATTACATTACATGGTTACAGAGAAACAGCCTAAGGCTTTCAAACAGCCAACCTTAATCTCTCCAGCAGTCTTAAAGGAACTGACAAATGCTCAAGGCTGTGTAAGAGCTGACTGGACTCCTGTGCATGTGTTAGATTTTAGGAGATTCAAAGGAGCTATAGTGTCATATGGTATGCCTTCCCCATTTGTGTGGCAGATGTTAAACTTGTGATCAACTTGTAATAGAATTTCCCTCAAGACTGGAGAGATTTGGTTACAGCTGTCTTACAACCTGATCCCCAGTTACAATGGAGGGCCTGGTGGAAGAATGAGGCCAAGACCTTTGAACAATGAAGTAGGGCTAGAGGTATGGAAATCTCCCAAGTTCAACTTCATGGAGAGGGATATTATGCTAATGTAGAAAGACAATCTCTTTATGATGACTACACCCTGGCTTTATGCCAAATGGCAACCTTGAATGGTCGGGAAAGAATTGAAGAAGTAGGAAGGAAAACTGAGTCATTTACAAAAGTTATACAGGGCCCAAAAGAAACCTTCACTGATTTCTTACAAAGGCTATCTTCAGCAGTAAATAGAATGTTGCCAAATTCAGAAGCTAGACAGATAATAGCTGAATCTCTGGCTTTTGAAAATGCTAATGCACAATGCAAAAGGGTAATTAGGCCATTAAAGGCAAGATCCGTACCCTTGGAGGAATAGATCCTAGATATAATGAATGTTGAATCTTGTGACCATGATGATACTTGAATAAGAGAGGTGATTTCCAGAAGTTTGAAGAAAAATAGTAATGTCAGATGTTTTAATTGCAGTAAACAAGGTTACCTAAGAAGGGACTTTAAACAGGGCATTCCTAGAAACAGTGTTTTTTCAAGGAATAATCTCAACAGAATGCTCCTCCCTTCTACATTATACAAAAGATATGGCAAAGGCAGACATTGGACTATGGAATGTAGATCAACAAGCAACTAACAAGGTAATTTCTTACCTTTACCCTCAGGAAATGCCCTGAGAGGCCTCTCACAGGCCTCCATGTCAAATTCTGTTCAGCCCTTTCCTATAATTGCAGAGGAAACTCCTTCCCAGAGCAATTAAAGAAGTTATGATAAAGATTAGATTTGGAAACTCCCCAAAGTTAGGGTTGGGGAAGGGTTTTGTTTTTGTCATTCTAGGAAAACAAAAACAACCATCTTGAGGAATTTAAAGACCTTTGGACAAATAATCATCCAAAGAAGAAGAGAGAACTATCTGGAAAAAATTACCATGGAAAGGAATAATCTGACCCAATTCAAGCTCTGAAGTCTCCAAAAAGATTCTGGGGCCCCACAATGATGATACCATCAGGACAATGATAACACAACTAAGCTAACAAACACCACCCAAAGATGGGCTTTGGACTACAAACAGCTCAGGACAATTTCGAGACGGCTAGCTGAGATGATCCAGCCTTACAGACTACTAGAGGAAGGACTTGAGGGAAGCCCTTCACTTTCACATTATGCACAGACTGGACAGCAAATGATACAGATTTGACAATTATCCCCAAAATTGTCAGGATCCCCTAAAGATGCCTTCACCCCCAGACAGCAGGAAGTAATTTTTAGACCATGATACCCACATTCCCAAGAGGTGAGATGGGAAGTTTTCGGTCTTTCAGTGGGTTATGGATAATTGTCACTGTTTAGGGTGCTTAATTACAAAGGAAATTGGATTCAGGTTCTTGTTTAAGAAAAAGAGACGCTATAGATAAGAGGCAAATTATTGAATCTACTCTGAAAAAATATAGACATGATGGACAAAGGGTAGATTATTGAATCTACTCTGAAAAGAAAAAAAAAACAGAGAGTGTGGATATGAAAGATAAAAGGTAGAAAGCAACTACTAATTTTAAATATTTTACATTGATTTGGATTTTTTATATTGT